GTGGATTAACAATGGACACACATGAGATAACATTGTCATGAACAACACACAAACACACACATTGTCCATCTCACATGTGTGTGTGTGTGTGTGTTAAAGCTGAAGTTCCATGGGATTGCTTCGCATATATCTCTTGTCATGAATAGAAGAAACTCAAAAGAGATGATGTTGTGGGGTGATTAAATACTTTTTGAGTCTACTTCATTTGAATAAAATAAACATTCTAGCTCTTGAGATCAATGATAATATGAATAGTTAATATGCTTTTTTTTTTTTACTTTTTGGGAAGGTATGATTAAACAAAAATTGTTGAAATATAACAAATGAAAACCTTACAAAAAATAATTGACTAATGGATCTGTCCATTAAGTCTCAGCACCAGTTTGAAAAAGATTTATTAGATTGTTTACAAAAATAAACAAAAAAAAACTTGCCTGATTATGACAAAATTTGTTTCAACTGCAGATATAGAAATAACTAGGAATAATAAAAGCATTTGGAAACTAGTCAAGCAGCATAGTGAGAAAGCAAAGCTGGATTACATGAGAGCACTAAAAAGGGAGGCAATTCATTTCATTTTTATAAGGGCAGATAAAGCATGTTGAGAGCGTGATTGGAATTTGAATAAAAAAAATATATTGTTGTATTGTGGCAAATGTGATGCTTGGAGTTAAGGTTTTATGAAATGTGCAAGAGTTGAAACATCAAACAAGCTGTGCAGCTGAGGGACTGTACTAGTGCAGATACAAAGCTTTAAATGCAGTGGGAAAACATTGTTGTTGAAAGTTCTGTGAACCCTATGCTCAGCAACATTGTACCACACATTTCAAATCTTGGTGGGAGCATGAAGAAACTAATAGGAGTCTAAAGCACAAAAGTTGAGAACCCCTTAAGCTTAGTCCAGTATCTTCCTATTCAATAGTTTAATTCCACAGAATTTCAAACAGCAATGTATACTTGACTTTGAAGCTTGAAGATTAGATTTCTAGCACACAACATTGTGGTACCAATGCTATAACCTGCTGACTAGCATTTAAATCTGATGTGAGGATGCCCTAATGTGTGTGGCATGCGGACACAAACAAAGCAACAGATGAACAACACATTGACATCTTCTTCCAGTTTATTACATTTTTTTAAAACTTTTTTTTCTTTAAGATAAATGACAAAACAATATTTAAAAAATGTCATCTAGTTTCCTGACCATGTTGACATGACAGTGCCAGGTTTTGATGACAGTATCAACTAGAAGTAAACACAATACATACACATAGTTTTTTGTACAAGTCTATCCCCTAAATAAAGACAATTGTTTACAAATTAAACAGACCTATACGTTTTTTTAAAAATTTGCATAAAATCTACATAAATTATTATCAATTTAAAAACATTCCAGAGGCTTTAAGATGGATAAGCCCACATTGTGTAGGCTGGTTTTTAGTTGAAGGTTTAAAGTCTACTATGTTATCAATAAAATGAACATTGTATATAGATGTTTAATTCTACTGAGAACAGCTCTGTATGTTGCGTTCATGCCCAATATATACAAGCCAGAGAGGTGCCAGCCTTATAAACATGCCCATTCTGGGCCAACATGAGCTTGTTTAAAGGGCATTCACTCTGCTGCTAATCTCATGATGTACAAGTAAGAGTACTCCAGACAAGTTATCCCTCCCCTTTTTTTTTTAAACCGTTATCTCTCATCTACATTATGAGATTAGCATTTCAACTCTGAATTTATAGCAATAGATACAACAGCAACTAATAACAGTCTAAGTAAGTCTCTAGGAAATAGACCAAATAATAGAGCTAATGACATAACTGACCTACATATTTAATTAAAGTTTAACACTAGATGGTAGATATGATCTCCATTTTATTGAAGGTTTCAATTCTAATAATTATTTTTTATTTAATACTTATTAAAATGTTTTTTTTTAAATCTCCAACTTTCAAAGTATATTTATAGAAATAACTGAGCCCTACTTTCATATAAGCATACATTTGCATATCAATTCTAGAAGGCCAAAGGGAAATAAGCAAGAGTTTGCTGTGGCCCAGAAATATCCTAAATTATGCAGAGTGTTGGTGTAAGCTCTGTAGAGTGTATGTAACATCAAGTGAACACCCAGGACAGAGAGCCCATGTAGCACTCAGTACAGAGAGCCCATGTAGCACTCAGTACAGAGAGCCCATGTAGCACTCAGGACAGAGAGCCCATGTAGCACTCAGCACAGAGAGCCCATGTAGCACTCAGCACAGAGAGCCCATGTAGCACACAGTACAGAGAGACCATGTAGCACACAGTACAGAGTGTCCATTGAACAGCAAGTAGAGAGAGTCCATTAACACCCATTACAGACAAAAAAACAAAAGCCTGAAAGCCATACAATGCAAAGCAATGAAATTAAACTAGCAAATCAATATAAAGTATGAATACAGCTTCACAAAATGAGATAAACAAGCCAACTTGGCCCATTCAGTGCATCAATTTTGTCACCAACAGGACTGCCTTGTCTAGTGCAACATTGAGTGTGATTAACAGGCCAACTTGGCCTATTCAACACATCCTAAACTCTAACAAACATTTTATTTCCTGTGCATTCAAGCATTTCATTTTGTCATAAATTTGAATGCAAAAATAAAATAAAAAAAACACAAACAAAAACGATATCTCTGTTAAGCGGCATAAATAAGACTCCTAGAGATTGAAACATTCAGGTTTTGTCATAATATAGCTTGAAATATGAGCAAATAATTTAATAGAAAAAAAATCGCTTCTAAAGTATTTAGGTTAACACAGCTACAAGGTCATGCACCACCTTGTGCAATGGTATTATATTTATCAACAGTTAATATGTCCAGTGGAATATCTACTCGTATAAATAGATTGTTAATGCATTTTTTTTTTTCTTCAGTACAAAATTGTTGGTTGCTATACAGTGTTACAAAAAAAAAATCACTCAGCAAATACAGGACCCACTATGTGAGGGCTCTGAAAACAAATGTACACAAGAAATACATCTTCATACAACAGTCAATATTACAAACAAGATGAAAAAAAAATTTGAACATCATCAACAAATATTATATGAATAAGATTAACATCCTATGATAAATCTCTTGAAAATGAAATCATTCTAATGAAAACAATTAGTACAAAGAGAACAGACACACCCACAATGACAAAGTGAAAATACTAGATTAGATAAGTTTTGACTATAGTAGTATGGACTACACAGAACAAAGGGCACAAAAAGAGAAAGTCACATCACTGTAGTGGATATAAACACATGTTAATTCATTACTATAGTACATAAACACAGTAAAAGGTATTGAACTAGATTTTAATTGTATATGCCTGGTATTGACATGGAAACTGATGAACTGTTAACTTTAACTAAATTTTTTAAAACCATCTGGACAGTCAACTTGTGGCTGAACTTAAGGCAACAGAATGTGTGATTCTAGACTATTGAAGTTTTCCACTTTTCTAAGTTAGTGTAAACATAACTTTCTGAATTGAATTAAAACATTAAAAAAAAACATTAATATAGAATACCAATGTCAGATTGCTTAGCACATGATGAGTTGTCAAAACAATGCTGAGGAATTCATTTACCACCCTAATTCTCTAATGATAGTAATCCTATATAGACATAGACCATAATTTCATGACAAATTTGAGGCAAGCCCAATGTTTTTATAATGAAGTATTTCCATCAGTTAAAAAAAAAAGGAAACAAATTAAAAGACTATAGACACAAATTTTGTGTAACTAGCTAAGAAAGACGACAGACATAGAGGTTGTCTTACTGTCACACAAAAGTTGTGAATTTAGATCTCTTTAAGTCAATAAACCACACTAATTCCTTGACTACTATGTCAACAGAAGTATTAAAGACAGAGGATATATATGCTTAAAACTAGATACAATTGTAGAATTGTTTTTTTTTAAATATTTAACACATATAAATATTACAACAAACCTTTTATCTATAAGAGAACAAAAAAAGGTCTCTTTCTAAGTAGAGAAAACAAAAGTCAACACATCCCAAGTGGAAAGAAATCAGCCAGTTCAAAGTAAAAACATTGCATTCTAATGCAAAACAAAAGAAACCATTGTCCAATAATAAGACTGACATAGACAAAAAAAAATGAACACTTTATCTTGATGCCAGTCCAAGGATGTAGTTACCATTCTTGAAATCCCAGGATTCTCTGATCACTTCCTGTTGCCTGAATGTTCTCCTTCCAAAGAAGTGTTGACCAAACCAAAGGAAAAAGTGTGAAAGGAAAAGCATCTACTTGCTGGTCACAGATTAGCTCAAAGAGAAAATAAGAAGGTCACATATAAGGCTGAGTTAGAATTGCTATAAGCCAACAGCTGTTAGTCAGGACTTGACCCCAGGCACTCGGGTTGCTGGCAGTAGGGAGTTATTTTTCTGTCATTACAACTAAGTATCTGGGTTTTAATCATAGAAAACAAAACCAACAACATGATTACAAAGAATAATAAATCATATATATATATATGTATATAAACATTGGACATTCAATAGTTTGTTTAATAATCAACAAATGCATGGCACAAGTATTTGGTAAGTGAATCAAGACACACACTAATTATAAACACACTCACACATATATATTTATATAAATATACATACATGTAAAATACACAAAAAAAAAAAAAAAAAAGGGTTATCATATAACATATTTATGGAAAATTGACATGATGTGTTTAGGCTGATGTGTAACAGATTTTAGTGTCAGATGGCAGGACATTAATTTTTCATTATTTATTTTGAGATTGAGCCTTAAACTTCAGGAGGGGACACTGGATGCATTACAACATTGGGTCATAAGGTCATCATATCCAATGGCATTGTACAACATTGGGCCACAAGGTCATCATATCCAATGGCATTGTACAATATTGGGCCACAAGGTCATTGTATCCAATGGCATTGTACAACATTGGGCCACAATGTCATCGTATCCAATGGCATTGTACAACATTGGACCACTGATAATAATAATGTTAAAAACATGCCTGGCCAAGTCACTCTAGAATTATAAGTTATCCTAAATGATATACACACCTTAGAGAAAAAAATAAAATTACTAAATTAAAAAAAAACATATTTGTGTAAAATATGATAATCCAAACTTTGTCGTTTTTTTTTTCTTTCAATAACAGATTAAGATAATAGGAAAATTTTTATGAAAAAGTAAATCCTCCAAAAAAAAAAAAAAAAAAAGACCAAAACAGTTAATGATTAACAAGGGAAAAAAAATTATGTTACTTGAATAAAACAAAAATGGTGTCAGTTTGTAGCACTAAGGGAGTGACTATTGTTATAGCTTCAAGACCAGGGTCTAGAGTTCATGAGGCCAAGTTTTGTGATGAAAGTGAAAGAAAACAATAACATTTTAATGTCACCAAAAGAATGGTTTTAGAAAAGAAGATCTGGATGGATCTGGCTAGGACACAAGAAAGACTTTGTGTTTTGAAAAAAAAATGGAATTGTTGAAATAAATGCACTAGTAGTGATTCTATTACATTCAATACTCATCATCTAATAATAAACCATACACAAAATTGTCATACATGCTAGATATTAAGTCTACAGAGCTATTATCTACTTCAGAGATATCACACAGGCCTCCTCACTCTTTGACCATAGTACAAACAACATGCTTACATGGGAAATAGCTAAATTGACTTATTTCCCTAGGGAGCTTTCTTGACATACATCACACCAGACTTCATCTCTAGTTTTGCCCCATCCTAGATCTAAATCTCTTGACCTGGTCTATTTCATTTAAATATAAATGATTAAGTAATTACTAATCAACGTGTATGAAATTAATTTTAGGATGAAAATGTTGCCAACCACATTTTTTTTAATCCTTGAAAACTGAAATTTTCATTTTCTCTCTTTATCTCATTTACTTTTCACCATTCTCAAATTATTTTTTTTATCAATTATTTCTTTAGGGCTCTGAGCACAAAGACTGATTCATTAAGTAATTAAAAAAAAATGAGAGTAGTCATTCTCTGCCATAAAGCGAAAGGACTAAATAAGCTTCACATGAGGAATAAACTTTTAAGATTTAACTGTTGTAACTTGAAGACTCCCTGAAGGTTAAACTAGAGACAAAAACCAAATTCGTTCATTATGATATGTTTTGCAAGAGGAAACCATTCAATTAATACTTGTTATATATGTCAGTGGACATTCAAAGAATGTCAGAAAAGGTTACATTTAAAATCATTTTAACAATTCATTAGTGAAAGAAATAAAATAACAACATTGAACAAGATTATATTTTAAAAAAAAACAACTTTTTGTTAAAACAATATATATTTAAAGAATTGAACCTAGAGACAATATAAAAACTGACTGGTATACTCTTAAGTCTATGAATGGAATTGTAAGATTTGTTAGGACCATCACACAAGCATCTCCCAAAGACTAAAACATCTATAACACTCCACAGTTAATACATAAAATGTATATATATGTATATATATATATATGTACATAAACTCAACCTCCTGATAAAATGTTGTGTATAGCATTCTAGAGTTTGTGAGAAAGACAGGTCACTATTGGGACATAGTCCACTACTTACAAAAACAGTGTTAAAAATAATGGATTTAAAACCATAGAAATGTTCGACTTTAAAATTTATACAATTTTAGGCCAGATTCTAAAACGTTTAGTATTAATTCAGAAATGCATTGCAATTTTTAAATAGCTTCTCCCACTATTAAAAAGGACTAAAAAAAAAAAGCTAGACTACACTGAAAAGTGTCTAAGAAAGTATCAACAAGTTTTAGGGTTATTGTAAATATAAAAGAGAGCACCACATTATCCTAATAATACTGCATTGAAAATTTAAAAAATAAACAGAGCACACTCATGCAGCATTGTCAGTGGCCATCTCATTACCCAAGGCTTCTGTGTCCCATAGATATACTATCAGGGCCAATGTGGATACATTATCTGATCATCTTCACCATAGATATAGTTACCAGAGCCAGCAAAAGTTTACCATCAGACCTTCTAGTGAAGGTGAACAAGATTATTCTGTCTGTGCTACACCCAAGAATGTGTAGGTCTGGAGCATAGTATTTTGCAACTCATCCTAGCCTTTCAGAGCCTTTAGAAATAGTGAGGCCATAACTTTCCCATTAGTAGGTCAAAATTTCACAAAAGAATCTGCTAAGGTTTAAAATGGGATACATGAGGTTCTATAGGATAACTTGAGAACCCTGTTTAAAATATTCATGTATATAAATGTATATATATATATAATGTATAAATATAGTCCTTCATATAAAGATTACAACTTTCTGTCTGTTTTGTAAGTTGAAGTTGAAATATAGCGTACACTGTTTGAATATTTATACTTAAAACATATGTAACATTTTGAATAAAAGTTGTATTAATATTAAATAAAAAAAAGACTCAAATCTATATCAAAGAACAATGTACAATTCCATAGAATAGTTAAACACATACAATTATAAGAATGAAAAATAAAGTTCATATAAATGTTCAGATAAAAAGGAACCACTGTGAAGACTATGAACAAGTGGATGTCAGTATTCTATAAGAATGACATGACATGGATTTAGCCATGACCTCATGTGCAGCCTGCATGTTAATATGGGGGGGGAAAAAAAGGGTGGTGGAGGGATACAACAAGCACATAACACACACACCATTTAATAGAAAGGAATAGTTGTTGTTCACAAGTCATCAATGTAACAGTAGCAATCTCAATGTTAACATCAACAGTATGAAGAAGTCTTTTGATAACATCACTTGGTTTAAGGCCTTCAACTAAAACTTGAGAGGAGAGAGGGGGGAGAGGACCACAAAGGCTTATGGTATGCACCAATAGGACCCATGCAGGCTGCACATCAGGTCATTCAGGGGCTGAACAGAAATATGGCAATTTATGGCTATACACATGAGTTCATCTCATGGTAGAGTTCAAAGGTCAACTTGAAAATTGTCCTCCTTAAAGAAATCACTTTTTTTCATATTAAAAAAAAAAAAAACAATCTTTTTTTCTTTCTCTTGTATCAACTGAGGAATACAGACATCTTCCATAGTTTAAGGTTAGTTGTCCTGGCAATTCTTTAAACAAATTGCCAAATGGGCTTTTAACTTTCCATCAGAAAGGGATATTTCCTTTTTAACATATTTCTATTTTTTAGTTTGATATTAATGAAGTCTCACAAAGACTAAGATGGTGGAAGGTCTATAGGAATGTGGTAGTACTTGCAACGAGAGCGTTTGCAGGATTGACGGGTGGCATAGTCTCGGCAGACAGTCACATATCCATTGTTTACTTCTACATAGTCTAAGAAAGAGCAGAAATACTTATGTTACATCCAACACAAACACATAACCCTAACAAACATATATCACTTGTGCATACACCAGGAAGTCACTTTAAAGAGTAGCAATTAGATATGATTTCTAAATGGGATTCAAATGACTTTGAAATTAATGAAGACAAAGCTCTAGTTATCAGCAATTATGCATGTAAGCACTGAATAAGGTTTGATTGATAACTTTTATAGTCAAATCTCTATCAAAAACAGAATCTAATTAAGAGAGTTTTAAAAAACATTGCTCTAAAAACAAATTTAGAAAGATATTTGATCAAACATTAGAATTTGAAACCTATTACTAATTTATGGGGTGGAGTGGCTGAGTGGCAAAGTATTTGGCTTTTGAACTGAGGGATTAATGGTTCAAATATCAGTGAGCAAATGGATTTCTTGATTTTTAGGACACAGTGAGTCCCCCCAACTCTAATGTGTACCTGACTTAAGTTGGGGAAAGTAAAGGCAGTTGGTCATTATGCTGGCCACATGACACCCTCATTAAATGTTGACCATAAAAGCAGATGATCTTTACACCATCAGCCCTTAAGATCACAAGATCTGAAAGGGATACTTTTTTTTTACTATCAATATCTTAGCTCCAAACATTCACTTGAGTTAAATCCTTAAGCGTGAACATAAAAATTGGAAAATGATCTGACATAACTTACCCTCAGAAAGATGCACTTGTTTGCAGTATGGGCTAGTGCACTGCCCACACTTAAAATCTTGGCACACTGGGAGGGTGTCCCGCAACTACAACAGCCAAAGTAATAAAACACATTAGATTCCAGATGCACAAGAGAAAAAAAAAAAAAGGTCATGTCTAACACACACAAGAAGACACAACACTGAGATACAACATTAAAGTGATCTTAAGAGTTAAATGCAAGATTTGTTTTCAAACAGCCAAACTTAAATTCATGCAGAAAACAAAAAAAAAAACAAAAAAAAAACATGGCAGTGATTCACTATGTAAGCAGTGAGAAAAAAAAAAGTCCTTGTTAAAGTCTCTACAATAATGAAATATCAATGAACCAAAACAAAAGCAAATACCAATGTTTAAAAAGCATTAAAAAACAACAACTGATTAAAGTGATTAGTGTTTTGTATTTCATTGTATATACAGTATTAATGTTTATGTTAGTATTATTATTTTAGTTTCATACATTTTTATATTGTATATATATATTACATACATGTTTCAATTTGATCTCTACATTCACTTCTTGGCTATTGGTTAAATTAAGCTGCTATAATGAGAAATAAATAGTAGATAGTTACAGGAGGCCTGCAAGCCATGCATCTAGTTCATACTTATAAACCTTTCCTGGCCACTATATTTAAATTTACCACCAAATAAATTGTCCAAATCAACACCTCAAAAAAAAATTTGTGAATGCATCGTTCTCTAGATAGAAGAAAAATATGCCATTAGTCATAGAACTAGAATTTTTACTGGATTTGTTTTGTTTCTATAAGATATTAATATGGGGATTAAACAGATCTTCTTTTTGCTTCAATTTTTTCTACGTCCAATTTTGATTTATTATTTGTTTCCTTCAATAAGAAAAGCCTCTAGTGCTTAGTCCCCATGTGTGTTTGCAATTTCAAAGTGTAACCTACACAGAAGGCATAAACTTGTAATGGTGTAAAAGTAAGATTACTTTAAAACTTGAGAAAAAAGTTGTGCATTGCCAACTAAGGCAAAGAATTTATAATAATACAATCTGCTCATAGTGTAAAGTAAATATGTTCCTGATAGCTAAGTTCTTTATCTTCTTTCTTAAACTATTTTCTAAATAATGTGATGCCTATGTATTTTTTTTTTTCAAATGACTCTTCATTTCA